ATATTCTCCTCACACAGCTTTACAGAATTCCATGATTTTGTGGACAATCTGGACAATGCTGGTCACCCAAACAGTGTCGCCTTTTCCATTTGGGAACGAAGCATTCCCGGGCCACACGAAGTGATTGATGTATTTGGAGATCTTTCGAATGTTAAAACAACCTTGATCACCAGCGGCGTAACCGAGAACAAATTTTGCGTTCACGAAGTTAGGCGTTATGCCAAACTATATAGCAGCCTAGTTCGTGTTGCCCTGTAGTCAAAAAAACTTTCTGGACAGCAATCACCTCCAGCGTCTTTCCTTACGGCGACAGTTCAATTGGATGGCCAGAAACCTCTGCTGTGTAACTCCTCTACGGCTGATGATGTTTCTATAAGTAATCAACTTGTATTGCAGAAAGTCGCCGTCCTGTCAATTTTGGGTTTTGTAATGGTCCACGCAAGGAAAAGCGTATACTGATATCCAGTCGTTCAATTAAATAAATGCACGGCTTACCTTCTAGGATTTATGGCGAAAATATAACGAACCGGCAGTTATTAATTAACAGTTTTTTTCTTGCATAATTGGACATGAAGATGACATCCTTATCTTATAATTGTATCCGTATATCGCCTTCACGCTTTTATGTTCATACACCTATTTTACTCTGATAATAGGATTTCTTCTCTCCCCGAAAAATTGCCCGAAATCAACTGGGAGCATTATCAGCGCATTGTCCCTATCCCTGGTTTGGCGGAGAAATTTAAGAAGGAGTACATGGCTCTGTCTGTCCCCGTCCCGATTGATGCAAAGAAAGTCGGAGCGTCTGTCGATGCACAAGCTAAAAAAATGGTAGTCCTCCGATCCTCAGTTAATTTCTTAAAAACTTTTAGACCGACGCTGCAAAGAAGCACATTGCCGCGTGTGAAAAGATGAAGTCAGATGCCACGTCCATGGTTCGTTTCACTTAATAACCCCTCACTACAACATTTAGAAAGCAGCGCTGAATAAGCTTCCTCCGTTTAATGAACTGCTACCGGAAGTTGTGATGGCTTACTTCCCTCACACAAACATGGATCCATTCTACACGGGCGAAGTTCCGAAGACAGAGGCCCAAACAATACTTCAAAACAAGGCTCCCAAAGTCCACTGGGATTTTAGCTGAATTTCTGATCTTTTCACCAGCCGTAGTATCTTGTCAGATTGTTTAGTTTAAATACAATCTCGACGCCGTTACCCTAGTTTTCTTCTATTTTGGAGCAGGTCGACGA